AAATGTAAAGTGAAAAATAAAAATTAACACTATTAGAAGAAAATATTGAAAAATGTTTTTTAAATTTTGGGATTAAAAAACTTTCTTAAAAAAGAAATTTAAAAGGTAAAAATTATAAAAGAATATGAATTAATATCATCAAAATTCCCTTATATATATGACAAAAGATTCAGAAAATAAAGTTAAAAGACAACCCAGAGATTAAAGACAGTTAGCAACATACATAGACAGCAATGGATTAATATTCAGAATATAATTTTCTAACCCTTTACAAATTATAGTACACTATGGGATTATAAATTAAGTATCAAAATAGATCTGATTGTAAAGGATAAATAGATATTCCACAGATGAGAAATCTAAAAAGTAAATAAACATAAAAAGATGTTCAAACTATGCCAGGATTAGAATGTGTCCTCCAAACTTCACATGTTGGAAAGTTAACCCCCAACACAAAAAATAGGAAATGCCAACAATAATAAGGGATTATTAGGTCAAAGACATCTGCCCTCCAGAATGGATTAATGTCCTTATTTCAGGTGTGGAGTCATTATCATGAGAACGGATTATTACAAAAAAAGAGTTTGCCTTTTCTGTATTGATCATAAGATAATGTGGCACAAAAGCCTTTGCCAGATGCCAGAGCTATGCTCTTGGATTTCCCAGCTTCAAGAACCATGCCAAATAAACTTCATTTCTTTACAAATTACTTGGTCATGGAGTATTATTATAGCAGCAGAAAATGGTTCAAAACAGTCTCATCAGTGATCAAGAAACTGTCAACAAAAAACAATAAAATTACATTTCACAAGTAAAAGAATACCAGGAAGTTTGACAATAGAAATGTTGGAAAATATGTGCAAATGTCAGCACACTGATATGTTGTAATTGTGCACACTAAAGCAATGTAGCCATTTTGAAGAGGACTTTTATCCATAACTGGCAAAACAGCACATGCACACAGTCTATAGAATTATATAGTTATCATAATGGATAGTTCTAAAATTCTACACTGCTGAATAAAGAAACAAAGAGAATACTATATGACAGCATTAATGTAAACTTTAAACCCACACCATATAATACCATACATCAAGTGTACATATGTAAGAAATGTTTAGAGAACTTATATGCACAATGGCATTGAAAGATGGCTAACAACCTCGTGATCGTAGTTGTCTCTAGATAGGGAGAAATACGAATCAAGCTAGTAGTTGTGTCAGCTGAGTTACCTAAAGTTATGCTGTGACAACAACTCCATACTGCAATAGAAAGGACGGGAGTTGTTGGAAATTAATTTTCCAAATCACAAGACCATTGGCCAGAATCAGTCACATGATCCTGCACAGGAGGCAGGGAAATGTAGTCCTTCCAGCACCTGAAACAAGAAAACAAGAAGAGCTTTCGCATTATAAGTTTCTAGAACTAGGCTGAGACATTAGAATTTTCAGTTGACCATTAATATTCTATTATTTAATAGAAAAAATTAAAACACAAGTTACAAAATGATAATATTCTGGATGATAGCCACATGAATGTTTTTTCTATTCATCTGTGCCCACACATTCTTTAGGATGTGGTAAGCAGCCCTCAGTCATTACTCTTTAGTATGAATTAGACTATCAGTTGGTCATATTAGAACCAAAATTAGAAAAGATGAAAAGGATGCAGGCTAAAATAAAACCTTAGGTACTGAATTCAACAACTAGAATAGCTCCTTAGAGGAGAGCAGAAAGCTTCCCTGTGGGCTGGGCGTGGTGGTGTATGCCTGTAATTCCCACACTCAGGAAGCCAAGGCAAGATCACTGCAAATTTGAGGCCAGCCTGGGCTACACAGCAAAACCCTGTCTCAAAAAAAAAAAAAAAAAAAAAAAAACACCCCCAAAACAAAAAACAAACAAAATTTCTCTGTAATGACCACTGTTTAAATTCCAGGTCTCATCTCCCATCATTTCAATTAAATGAAAGTATTAAGGGGCTGTGGATTTAGCTCAGCGGCAAAAGCGCCTGCCTGGCAAGTGCAAGGTCGTGAGTTCGGTTCCCGGTACCGGAGAAAAACCAAAACAAAAAAAAAAAAAAAAAAAAAAAAGAAAGTATTAATGTCCTCAGTAAATCAAGATCTTAGTACATTTGTTGGTTATCCTAACTTCCGCCCCATTTCCCCCCTGAATCAATCCTTTGTTTCAAACACTAGTGATATTTTGATAAGAAAAAATAGAGGCTAAAATATGCCTCATCACCTATAGAAAATTAACATAATTATGCATGACACATTAACAGTAAACAAAGGGAATGCATTTTGCTGTGTTTCTGCTGTTACGCAGTATAACAATTTTTCATGTAGCTTTTCAGGCTTTTCATGACTGTCACTTCAGTTGATTCTCTCAACCTTCCTGGAAGGTAGACAGAGCAGGTATTTACAATCCATGGTGCACAACTGAAGACATTGAGTCAGGAGTAGTTTGCTGACTGGCACAAAATTGTGTGACAAACTAGAAGCAGAGCCATAGTGAGGATCCAGCTTGCAGGAAGATGCACCTTCCCACAAGGCCTGTGTAGAATTGCAGTTTCAGTTTTCTAACCCCCGAAGTGGCCTGCTTCTTGCACCACACACTTAGCCCTTTGGGCAACCAGACTCATTGTAGGTCCTTGTATAATTTGGGGATACACAAGAGAACAGGGAAGAAATTTGAGAACTTCTGAACAGAAAACTAGCATACTAGATGTACATGTAGCTGTACATATACAGAACAGAAAACTAGCATGCTAGATGTATTTGAAGCTGGGAACCTTCAAATCAGAGGAGGGGTGAATATTTGCTCAGCATTAGAAAAAGCAAAAAACAGTAGACAGAAACCAGAATACCATGTTTTATATCCCAGCTCTGCTATTTACTTGCCTTACGATTTGGGGAAATCATCTTCCCCCTGGGCCCCATCTTTTTAAATTGAATTAGAATATTTCAAATGTTCCTTCTGCTCTGAGATTCTTTTAAGGCCTTGAAATGCTTAAATCTGTGCAATAAAAGGTAATGTCACTCTCCCTCCTAGAAAATACACTAAATAGATTCACTGAAACCTGGATATAGCTGAAATGTAAATCAGAAAACTGAATTTATGTATAAAGATGTGAAAATCACCATACTTTCTACAATCACCCGTCTCTTTTCCCCCATTAACAGATGGGATGCAGTTTGACCGAGATGATCAGAGGAAGCAGCTGCCGTCTTAGCAGTCACCCCACAGGAGTGACACTAATGAGACAGATGAAATATTTGAGAGCCCGAGACTCCTCAAGAACCACTGCCATAATGCCAGCGTCACAATGGGTGTGTTTACAGGTTAGTCATCCACTCTAAAAATAGATTGTGTAAGTGATATTTCTTTTAATGATGATAATTATGATTTATAGCTTGCCGAAGCCTCCCAGGCAAATATCCCAAGAAGAACAAAAGGATGCTCAGTATAATTAAAACAAAGAAAATGTAGACCTCTTGACATATGAGAAAAGAAAATGCTTTAACATCAGAAACAGAATTCTGTGTTGGGTTTGATTAACACTAATGTGCATTTTATTACAAGATCACATAACATTGTGGGAGGATTATTTTATTCACAGAAAGAATGCATCCCAATATGCCCCTTCTGCTAACAAATTCCTGCATTATTCTTCAACGTTTGCTTATATGTTACTTTTCCAGAAAAAATTGAAAAAGAAAATTTCTTAATTTCTTGCTCTTGAGGAACGTGGTACCGCCCAGGTGAATTCTAAATATGCAGTAAGTATACTGTTGATGTTGAGCACTGAGAACACAGACATTACACCTGTGTGTGTATGTGTTTTCCAGAAGCTCAGGAAGTGATGGGTAGAATTAAAATGCCTGTGGGGTAGACTGGGGATTAGAGTTCAAGAAAGACTTTGTTACCAGGTGCTATTTAAGCTTCCTGATGGATACCTTGGATTTATCCATTTTGTAATGGAAAGGAAGACATTTCAAGAAGAGGAACTACAAGGTACAAAGCCAGGCAGAAGTGATATCATGGTTTAACATTAAGATTGGACAGAGATGCAGCAGAAATCATAAGCTAGGGCAGATTATAAATGGTCATATGAACTCTGCAGAGTTCATGTGACTATTTAGAGTGTGTGAGATGCAGTCCTAGTGTGACAAGAGAGTCACCGAAGGGTTTGAATGCGAGCACCTCCACAGTCACATATGCCTTCCAGGCATTTGCAGGGTGAACAGTGACCTGGATAGGCTGATTTGGGTGATTGATCAGGAAGCTGTTGCAGTAACTTAACAGCTGATAAGAAGTTTGACTTGGGCAGTGGGAGGAAACAGAGTTCCTTGTTGGGTTTGATTATCACTAATGTGCATTTTATTGCAAGGTCACACATGTTGTGGGAGGATTATTTTATTCACAAAAAGAATGCATCCTATTGCATGAAGGGAGGATATCTATATATCTATATCTATATATATGAATATAATCAGTGTGAATTTTTAATTTTATCAAATTCCCCTTCAATACCACTATGCTAAGGCCTTTCTCAAGTGGCTAAAGGGTTAAAGGGTCCTATGGCTTATATTTAAATATGCCCCCAAAGCCTCATGAGCTCATAAGTTTGGCTTTTCAGGGGTGGCTAGATCATCAGTGTGTGACACTAAGATTAAGGGTGTGTGATAATGAAATTGGTTTAGCATAATTCTTGGTGTGGATAATGGAAGGCCCACCCTGGGTGTAGGTGGCACCAACCAATAGGCTTGTATCTCAACAGAATAAAAAGGGAAAAAAAATTGCTGCTGAGTGATTCCTGTGTGCTACACCATAGCCTGTTTCCCTTCTGCCATGTTGCCCTGCCTTGGAATCAGCTGACCATGGACTGAAACCTCTACAAACTATTAGCTGATATAAACCTTCCCTTCTTTAACTTTGGGTGTCAGGCATTTTGTCCCAACAATGAGAAAAGTACCTAAGACAAAAGGCAAACAGAATGGGTTGAAAATTTTTCAAATACTGATTTATGTAGCTGTCACATATACTTACAGAAGTAAAAACATGAAACATGTATCTATGTGTCTGTTAGCAGCATGGCCCACCATGAAGCTCTATAGCGTCAACCATTTGCTTTCATGAAAACATTAGCATTGTCTTCATAATGAAATTGTACTTTTTATAAGCATAAATTTGACAAAATCTCTGATAATAAGAGAGAAATCCTGGCCTACATCTGAATCAAATCCGCATACTTGCTTACTAATAGATTTGCTCAAAACAAAACAAAACAAAACAAAAATCCATTTGCAAAGAAAACAAAGAAGATGTGGTTCTCCAAGTCCAAGGGACTCACAGTCTCCTCAATTGTGAATTGTGGCATTTTTATCTTATTCTCTCATCTGTAGCTGTGATTCAGTAGACGACTTAAACAAGTTATATCAGACCTTAATTTCCCTGTCTATAAAATAGGAATTGTCATAAGTGGCCCCTTGTTACTTGTTTGTGATGCTGCTTAGATGACTAGCATATGGCTGTAAGACAGACTAAGCTTTTGCTCAAAGACTCCAGTTCAAATATCATCACTGTGCTGGTGGTAGTGATTTTGGAAACTGAGAGCTTGAGGATGGTGAGACTGACTCTCCGGAGGGGATGAATCATGTGTCAAAGGCATTGAAAACTGATGGAATAAGCAATTTTTGGAGGTACCTGGTGAGCTACTATCCTATGAAAAAGTGTGAGAGTATCTCAATTTAGAAAAGTCATACATTGAAACCTTGCAAATTGGAGAATGAGAATAGAAATAGACAGATGAGTGAAAAAAGTTATAATGATTTTAAATTTGGGAGTTGGAGTACAACAGAAGCTTCACTTGGTCCGTTAGTTATCTGTAATTTATTCTTCTGTTTGGCACCAGTAGGCATTCAGTAAATGCCAGTGGCATTTACTTATGGCAAGCTCCATAGTCACCATTTTGTACAGATAAAGAACAAGCCACAAGAAGTGCAGAAAACAGCCCAAAGTCCTTCCACTGAAATGAGTGGTATTACTCAATGAGTGGTATTACCCCTAAATGAGGGTTCTAGGGACCCCTTCCAGAGGTGCTTTCTAGGTTCTTTCTATCTTGAACAAAGAATTGGTCAAGAAAAGTGCAAAACACAGAGGAGCTTTATACTTACTAAAGATATGAAAATGAAAGAAATATGCTCTGCAGACCGATTTTGGGACAATTAAGGTAAAAGAAATATACCCTGCAAGAAAACAGGGTGGGACATTGAAAAAGTTAACAGTGACAGCTGGTTAGATGGTACTCCTCAGGATGACATCAGATCTAGGCTGTTCTACTCAAAATCCCGCTCCAGTCTTCTCCAGAAGAACTGAAAATAGCACTCTCTGATTGGTTCCAGGTGCAGTGCTTTCAGAACTGTTCTGCATGTGTTTCTTGGAACTCTGATTGACAGGTTACTCCACTCCCCAAGCGGTTGGCTATGCCCTAATCTCCAGCCTCTAAGGGGCTCAGTCTTGGTCACTGAAAAGCAGGATCCCCTTGTTATCCCTGCCTCTGGATTCCATTCTCCTTCCCTTACTACACTGTCACCAGTGTCCCTATTGGTTCTTCCGCTTTGTCATTTTCTTCATCTTTGGCCATCATTTGGCTCTATTTTTCCTATAAGTCTGTTGTTCCCTCTTCCCTTTTTGGAGAAGATGGGGGAGTGGTGCTGTTTGTAATTTCTTGCCTGTCTTAGAACCTAATAGGCATACTTTCCAGATGTGTCACATGAAGGGTCCTTACACTGGAGTTGGAGGCTGTTGTCAAATAACTGATAGAACAAAGTCAGAACTTTGATGCTCCTGTAGGAGAACCAACAACTCTCTTCCTGCTTTATTAATGTAAGTTTTACATTCTTGGTAAACATCTAAAGAAAGCAGGTCTGGACTAAGTGTCTCACTCATTCAACTGGCACTTATTGAATGTAAAGGTTTTGCACAACCAGTGCTTTCTGAGGGGCTAGTGGATTTGAAGACCACTGCAGTTAATGTTCATTACTTAAGGGTTCCATATTTGTGGATTCATCTTTCTCAGATTTATCTGTAACCCCCAACTCAATATGCTAAGAGCCTCTGTGTTCTTCTACTTCTGTGTGCCAATCATGAAAGACTTAAGTCTTGAGTCACCATAATGCACGTTACCATGTCTTTTTCATTTTTGTGGGTTTTATTTTCAACTGGGGATGGAAACGAGGGCTTTTATGTTAAGCTACATCCCCAACACTTTTCTTTTTATTAAACACTGATTTTTAAACAAGATCATGCTAAGTGGCTAAATTAACCAGGCTGGGCTCAAACTCATGATTCTTCTACCTCACCTTCCCATAGTGCCACTACCCTCTCCCCTCCAGCTTATTTTTGCTCTTTTTGATGGCGAGGCATTGGAGCACAGTGCTGAAATGTCACCAAGGGTTCCTAAACACAAGACAGTGCTGCTCTTTAAACAGAAAAGTTTCATTCAGGCCAAATTAAAGGTGTTGCTGAAAGTGAGTTCAGTGTTAATGATCAACAATATATGTCTCTCAACAGAGTCAAAAAAGGTGTCTCTCAACAGAGTCAAAGAAGGTTTTGCATCGATTAGTTGATGAAATGTGACCAGACACTTATGGGAACCTAACCCTGTATTCTCTTGACAAGCTATGTCTCAGTATTCACTACTTCAGTATTCATGGTGACTTTACAGTTGAAAGTGTTAGGTAAGGTTCCCAATGTATAGGAATGCAATGTTTCGGGAACACACGGGAAAGGACACTTGCCATGGTTTGGACAGTTGAAGCAGTCATCGTGGAGGATCTACTGTGAGCCAGGTTCTAAAATCATGGGGAGAAACTGAATGCACCAAAATAAAGGGTCAGTTGAGACAGAGGGGAACTGCATGCAAAAGAGAGGTGTTCTGAAAGACCCTGCCACATTGAACCCAGGGATTAAAAGAGCAATCAAATCAGAACCCTTAAATCACATGAGTATCTCAGCCTCAGGCAAGGATTTTCAGCCCCTACAGTTTCCCTACATGGTTTGGGCAGTGGTTTTTGCAACAAGGAAGTATGCAGTATGTCAGCTGAGAAAATTGGTGCTATATTTGTAATCAAAGCTATTATCCATCCTTCTGAAGCATAGCCTGTGTTTTAGCAGAATCCCCTACTTACATAAAGGACCTTGGCCAACACCTGGCAAGAAAGCCCATCACCTCTGGAGGCCACTGTGGGAAACATCAGCAGGAAAATACCATGTAATTGTTATGGTTTACAGCTAAAATGCCCTTGAAAGCTGCCTGTGGGGCTCGTGGAGGATGATTATATTATGAGGCATATAGTTGATTTGCTGTTAGGAAGAGGGGCCTGGTCAGAAGAGGCAGGTACCCGGGGGCTTGACCTGGAAGTTTATATTTCACTTCTGGCTCCTCCCTTGACACCCTCTGGGTGTCTGTCATCAAGCTGTGAGCAGCTTCTCCTCTATGCCACTCTGCTAGGCCCTCTTGCTTGGAGCCTGCCAGCCATGGACTGAAACCTCTACAAACTGAACCAAAATAAACCTCTCCTCCTTTAGGTTGTGGGTGTTAGGTATAGTGTCCCAGTGATGAGAAAGTGACTCAGACAATAATTCTTGTTGAAGGTCAGGGATATGGAAGGGTAAATATTAAGATTTTTTTTTCTTATAACATAGTACGCAAAGAACAAGCACTATAATGTTCTAGGACCTAGGACCCTGAGAACTCCCTACCATATCCACATCTATGAAGGATTTTAGTTTTCTATTTTTTTATATTTTTAACCAGCAAGTTTTAAATTAGCACTTACTGTGTGACCAGTGTAATTCAAAGCAATGCAAGTGACACACATGAAAGGACAGGTAACATTTTACACAGCTTCTTTTTCCCAGCTGCCAAGCACTTTACATGTAGATCAGCCCTCACATCAGCCTTCTGAAGTAGGTTTTATTATTCCCATTTTATGGAAGGGAAAAACCAAACTCCCGATAATTAAGTGACTTTTTGAAGCTCATGTAGCTCGTGACTGGTAGAAGCAGGATTCATATTCAACTTTGATCCTAAGTCTAGGTGAGGTCACAGAAAATGTCTCTGATCTCAGGAAACTTGCATATATGAAATATTCCTGACACCAGCATAGATCATGAAACGTGGTGGGTTAGAGGAGACTGTGGCTCAGACTGTCAGTTTTATAGCAGCATTCAGAGGACAGAAGTCTGAGTTCATATGCCACACTGTCCCCAAAATCATGATCCTTGATACCTGGAGATGGAGGAAGAAACCACCCCAGATCCGCATCCAGAAGGAAGTCCAGGAGCAGGCAAGATCCCTCAACAGACAAGGGCCCCATGCTGGGAAGATAAATCTAATTTGTTGAGGAATTTGGGGGGTGCTTTCCAAGATAAAAAGTCTCTGCCCTAGTCTGTGCCAAGCATTTTTCTCAACTCTGGGAGATGATGTGTTTCAAAGATGAGGGGGAAGACCCAGTCCATGGAGGGCTGGCCAGAGCCCCTGGCAAGGAGGGAAGTCCTCTGAATACCCTTGCATTTTTGCCTCCTCCTCTTCCTCTACCTCCTCTGATGAAAGAAAGGCCCTTAGCCTATCATTAGTTTCCTGAGGCCTCCTAGGATCGAGTGCAGCCTCCTCAGACTGACCTGGTTTCCACTGTCCACCTCCCTAGCACGATGCTGTTATGGTGACCTCTACTTTGTCCATCTACCATCAGTGCCCTTGTTTCATTTCCTGCCTGTTGAAGTTTGGCTCAGCCCTCAGAATGCAGTTCAAACACTGTCCTCTTCAGAACCTGCTCCCAGCGTCTGCTGCTCCGAGGACCACACAACAGATATCTCCATTCAACCTGTGTCTTATTTTGCCTTGTCATAGCTGGGGCTGGCCGCCTGTGTCCTCAAGGCCTTGGAAGGTGTCCTCATTCCATCCTTCAGCAAAGTGCCTGCCACTTGGTGATGTTCAATCTCTACAAATAAATACAGGAAGAGGATGTCCTTGAAACCAGAACAGTTTGGTTTCAGTTTAACTTAAGATAGTAAGGCTCACTTTAGCAAACTTATATTACAAATGTAAACCATCTGAAATTTAATCTCAACTGACCTGCCCCCTAAATGACAGTTTAATTTCACTGTAATCTTTATTATAATAACTTCTAAACTAGTTATTAGCATTACTGATGAAGTTGGAAGACTGTTTCATCTGATTATTGTGTCTTAGGGAACACTTAATTATTAAATTCCACACTAATAATTAGAAAACCCTATTATTTCATAATGGTCTAGAAAACACCATGCAAGTATCCCTCAATTACCGAAACAGAAGCTATCTCAAAGTGTGTAGTGGTAAGGGCTCATACATCAAATGGTGCACTCACCCATATAAGCACATGATTAGCAATAGACAGTGTACAGTAAAATGTCCTGTACTGCTCCAAAATGATAGTTTTATGGTGGTAAGTGTCACCTCTGGCTGGTTCGTGTTTGTACTTCCCAAAGTCTGGCCAAGTTCAAGGTGAGCAGCAAGTAAAAAGTTCTGCTGGGGTGGAGTCGCAGCATCACTATGGCAGTGAGGGCGGATAAACTCCGGCACCGGAAGTTTCTGATACAGCCACGCACAGAGAAGTTGTCTTTGCAGGACTTGACAACAGAGGTTGGGCCTGGGCCAGCGGCCCCAGAGCCACTCACATGAAGCAGGGGAAAGTTTTCATGGGCATCCCAAGGCCCCTTTCCAACAGAGAGACCATGTTGTACTGTCTGGACTATGCGGTCCTACCGTCTGTGAGTTCTTGCCAAACCCAGCCAGAGGCTTGATGCTTTGGTTCGCGTGAGGCTTCAGACCCACAGATTGCAAGAGCCCAAGGAGGCCTGAGCAGGCCAAGTCCTCGGGGGACACACACAGGTGCTCAGGAAGGGACATGGCTGACCTTGTCCTCCCAGCGCTCTGGGACCTGGCCTCTGCTCTCTAAGCGCCCGGTCCAAGCACTCAGTGACCTTCGGCCTCTCTGCACAGACCTGAGCACCCTGGGAAGATTGCATCTAAGCTGCCTGCTGCCCCGAGTGACTGGTACAGGCAGCAGCACGCTGGGGTCTGCAAGGCCGCCTCCTACACATGCGCACACTCGCACGGAGCTCTGACTCACACCCTGTTTGACATTGCTTGGGCCACTCTGGTTTCCCTAATCTCCTCTGTCTAAAGCAAAAGCCTCACGATAGATGTTTGAAAGCAATGGTCGCCACAGCCTTGTTGTTATCTGCAACTTTCTCCTTGCATGCTAGACTATCAGTGTGTCTGTAGACTCCGTCTTTTAGTAATTACGCTTTCTGGACTGAGAGTTTAGGAAGACCTCTCAGGGATCCCACCAGGAACAGCGACCTCGAAGGCGGGGAATCCCTTCGGGGAGGCCCGCAGCGGGGCTGAGTTCAGAGTCCAGTTGTGGGACAGCGGGGCTGGGGCTTGGGGTGGCCGGGCGTAGGGCTCTAGCTGGAGGGTGGCTGTCCTGCCTGCTCCGCGGCCCGAGAGGGACAGTGAGCGTGGATGAGGAAACGCGGGGCTGAGGAAACCCTCGTCCGGGGCAGGCCAAGTGGCCAAGGCTAACCGCGGGGCAGCGATGGTCTGCAGAGGCGCAGCGAGCAGAGCCAAGTGGGAGCGGGCGGTGAGGGTCGCGGTCGCCGCTGGGCGGGTCCCGCGGCTCGGTCTGCCGGTGAAGTGCTCTCAGGCAGGCCGGGGCGGGGCTTCAGGCGGGGCTGGAGGCGGGACTGCACCCTAGGGGCGTGGCCTGTGTGGCTGGGGGCGGGGCCGGGCTCTGGGGCGTGGTCGGGCGGGGCTGGAGGCGCCCTGGCGGGCTCCCCTGTCTCCGGGCTGCAGCGCCGGGAGAGGCGTCCTTCAGGCGGCGCTGAGCGGTGGCCCGGCGCGGCACGGCGGCGGTGACTGGTGAGTGGGGCGGGCAGCCGGGACGCGGCTGAGGCGCGGGGGCTGGGTCGGGGCGAGCTGCGAAGGCTCCAGGCCCCGGGGAAATCAGAGGTGCCCTAGGCCCAGTCATCCCCACTGCTCGCGGCGACTTGCAGGGCCCGGGAGGCAGCGGGCGAGCGCCGAGGACCCGACCCCGAGCGCGATCCGCGGCCCCGGCTCCAGAGGGGCTTCCGGCTCCAGACCACCCTCTGCCACTCCCACCTCGACCGTGCGCGGCCGGCTGCGGAGCCTTTCTTACCCAAGACCCTATTCCGTGCCCCTCCCTCCTCGCCGGGCCGCTCCCTTCCCAGCTCCCTGCAGCCCAGAGGCAGCGCCAGCGCCCTCCCTTCCTCCCCCGTGGCCTGCGCTGCCACCTGCCCAGGACCCCACTCCTGCCGCCCTCCCTGCTCCGGGCCCGAAAGCAGCCCCAGTCTGGCCACAAACGGCCGATGCGATGATCCTGGCCTGAGGGATAATTTGACCCACTTCCTAGGAGGCTGGTCCCAAGCCAGCCGTGCTTTCTGGTGGAGACACCTGGCTTGCTGCCACTGGAAGGACTGAGGACACCTCTGTCAGAATGGGCCAGCAGGTCGCTGGCTCCTTCCGGGCTGCTCAGACTTGCTGGCCGCTGTCCCAGAGACCAGGGCCAGGGGTTTGGGCATTTAAGGCCTCCAAAGCCATGTGCCCACCTAGCTCCCCAGAATTTCCACAGCCACTGCTGGGGATTCCAGGCCTAGTACTGAGGGCTGGCTCTTCTAGGGTCTGGACCTGGCCTCTTCCCCTTGCTCTTGTTTCCCTCCTGCTCCCCAGGGAACTCAGGGGAGGATAATTGGCTGGGGTTTAGGGTTTTGGAAGCCCCTACAGCTCTGTGGCCTCCCTCCTTTCCCTGTTAGAAACTTCACCTGCTATCACCAGTCACCCTCTCCCCTGAACAGGCCTGAGTTACCTCCATCTCCAGGAGTCCCCAGGGCACAGAAAGCTGGTGCGGTGCCCTGCAAGACAGCAAGAGGAGGGTGCCACCAGCAGGTCTGGGCTTGGAGGCTGCGATCGTAGGGTCAGTCATGTTAGGAGCTCTGAGAGGGGTTCCAAGGCTTTTTTGCAGTAGAGAGGAGGCAGAGCAGAGCTGTTTTTCCTGCATGTTTCTGCCTAGTGTTGCTATGGTGACAGTTTTGCCTCTCTTCCTCTGCTTCTTCTGGGAGCTGGTTTTTATTGGTCTGTTGTCCTGTCTTTTATGACTCTAATTTCTCCTTCTACTTGCTCTGAAATAAACAGTCATAAACGTGGGGGCTGGGCCAAGGCTGGGGGCTGGCAGGACTTCACCTCCTGCTGTCTCTGGGCTGCTCTGAGGAGAGAGAACAGAGGGTCAGATCTGCCCACACTCCCTCCTGCTCTCAGCTCTGGGACAGGGGCAGCAGCATCCCTGTGGGAGACACAGTAAGAAGCACACTTCTTGGTGCTAAGAATAGAAACCAGTTGCCAGCAGGAGCTTATTGATGTGCCTTCCTTTCTTTTTCTCCCTAGCATCATGGGGAGGGACTGTCCCCACTTTACATATGAAGAAATTTAGCTTCTAGTAAGGGTGCTTTTCCTCTGTGGTCACACTGGTGTTAGCACACATTCAGCCTGAGCTGCACTGAAAGAAGGGAAACTGACACAGCTGGGGTGTGGCTCTCCCGGCTCCTACCCTATTGGTTATGTGGTCCTCTTCCCAGAGTGACCTCAACCCCATACATGCATGTTTTAGGAGGCTTATTGGAAATGTCCTCAGTTTTCCCACCCTTCAAGGGCACTGCCGGAGTAAGATGGCTGCTTGCCATGTCCTTCTTCTCCCCTTGATCTCAGCTTTGGGGACCCAAGTGGAGAACAGAGTGAAGCCACCTGTGACTTCCTGTTTTACTCAGCAACCAAGAATTCAGCTTGCCTGTTCTCCCCAGGCCTAGGTGCAACCAGATGAGACGAGGGTGCAGCCAACCCAGGGCAAGGAGTTCTGCGCTCTCCAGGGTCAGAGGGCCCCTCGGTGTCCCTGCTGGTGCCATAACCAGTTGAGCTGCCTTACTGTCATTTCTGTCTCCATGGAATTGTTGACTTCCCCACCGCTTTCCCTTCTCCTCATCACACTGATTTGCTCCGGGCTTGTTGACCGTGAGCTTAAAGTGTGCAATGGCAGCCTGAAAAGACAAGCAAATCAGCACCTTGTTGCACGTGCCCGCCATGAGGGGGTCAGTGAGTTCACTCACTTGACAGGTTTCTGCATCTTTACAGTGGAGTTGACAGCATCTGACCTGTAGGCTTCACTTGCTGGTTCTATTAGGACCCTGTGGGACTGCCCAAAGGGAGAGCTTTTCAGCATTGAAAGGTGAAGGACACTGTGTTCCAGGGCTGTTGGAAGAGATCAATGTTAGCCAGGCATGGGGGCACGCACCTGTAATCCCAGCACTTGGGAGGCTGAGGCAGGAGGATCGTTGCAAGTTCGAGACCAGCCTGGACTACAAAGGGAGCTCACAGCTGGCCTGAACTGCACAGTGAGACCCTGTCTCAAAAAGACAAAAAAAAGAGAGATCAGTGTTTCAGAGACCCCCTATGCAGCAAGTGAGAACTGATGTAGAATAATCTCCATGGAGTCTCAGGATGTAGAGCCATTCTCTAAAACTGTCTTGTCCAGCCCTGGTGTGAATCCAGGCTTTCATTTCTGTACCTGTCATTTGTGGGGCTTCTCCTCTGCAAGTGCCAAATGTGGCTTGGGAAACTAGTGGTAGGAAATGAATGCTCTTCCTGATTTCAAAAACCATAGTCTGGTGTAAAAGGTAAACCTGGACAGAGATCTTTGTGACTCAGTCAGAGAGGTGGTGAAGTGGAGGAGGGGGACCTGGGGCCAGAGATTGACACTTGACCTGGTCACCCCTTAGTGTGGAGTTAGGAGGCTTCTGCTTGGTGGCTAAAGTACCACTGGCATAAAGTACTATCGGGCAGTCCCACCTGCTTTGCTGAATTTTAAACATAAGTTTATTATGTGTTTGTGATACATAATGAATGCATACCTCGTGGGGCACTGACACATGTACATGCACCATCCTGATCCATGTCACTCCCCTTCTCTTCCTTGCATCCCTCCCCAGCCCCCTTTGCTGAGTTCCGCTTGTCCCTCGTGGTAGCCTCTGTTCCTGCTTTGTTGGTTGGTTCCCATCCTTTCTCTGGAGCTGAGTGCATTGCCCGACAAGATGACATGGTGATTGGGAAGAAAGAGGGCCGTGGAAACAGAAATGAATGAGTTCAGACTTCATCACTGCTGCATCCTGATGGCATAGCTGACCTCTCTGAGGCTCAGTTGTATATCTGTAAATCTTGTCTGCTGAGAATCAAATCAGCATATACATGTAGAGGGTATGGCATGGTGCCCACCCCACAGTAGACTTGCTATTGTTTAGTTATATTGATTAGGAAAGACTTCAAAGTTACTAGGCCTCTGGGTCCTCTTAGGACTGTGGTAGAGAGCTCTTGAGATGAATTCTGGCCTTCAGAGATCTATTCATTACCTAGCGAGGTTAAAAGTTGCTCAGGTTCCTAGTTATTGCTAAAGATTACTGCTAGTTAACCTTCAAGTTATCTCTCACCAGATAAGCTGTTTTCTGAGCCACCATGACAATGTGTGAATCTCCAACACTTGTTTGCTCAAAGAAGAATATAGTTGAAATTGCAGCAAACATCCTACTTATCACTGGAGCTCTGTGAGATTGGTATTATTGTCTTCATTTTATGCTTTAGGAAGCTGGAACAAGGTGATGTCACTTGCATAGTGTTTGGTAGCTCCTGAGTGACAAGGCCAGAATCTAAAAGTGGATCCCGCTTGCTCTTTGTGCCATGGTAGACAGATCTTGTCATTTCCTTGGCTGGCAGGCAGTGACCTAAATGCGAGCAGAGTTTAATAGGGGCGGAATTGGTCAGTGCTGTAATTCAGACTCACAGTAAATATTTAGAAACTTTATTAGGGCTTTGCTCTCAGCACAGCATTAACGAGGTTCTCTGCATCTGGCTGAGGATTTGTTTTTGTCAGTGATGAGTAGAAGCGTTTGACAAGTGGGAGTTAAGAGAAAATATTTGGTGATGATAGGAGTAGTTTCCTGAGCATAAGAGTGGGTGGTGAGTTTATCACTAAGGTGACCTGAGCCTTTGGACAGGCTAAGATTTCGTATTTGATCTTGTGGAAAGCCGTGTCAGGTGCTTCCCTGGGACATGGCGATGGGAGAGGTAGTGAGATGACCACACGTGGCTGGGTAGCTCCTCAAATGCAAGGGTGGTATGGAGTGAGTCTCTCAAGACAGCTCGTGTCTGGGAAGATGGAAGTACAGTCAGCCTTGGTTTGTGAGCATAACTCGTTCCGGAAACAGGCTTGTAATCTGAAGAACTTGGAAACTGGGATGATTCATTCTACAACTCAAAATGTTCATATAAAATGATTACAATATTGTGATATAATGCAAAGCAATAAATAACTTGCAAAATGTTAAGAAAAAATGAACGAATTAACCTGTCCTTGCCTTTGAAAACCTTTGTGGCTGGCTCAGGGGAAATGAGAGAGGAGGGTGATTATGCAGGAGACTTTCACTATCACAGAAGTACTGCTGTTGGCTCTATGGAATCTTTTTCTGTTCCTGCAACTTTAGCAAGGAACCAATCCAGTGACAGTTGCTTTTGCCTCTTGTTAAGGATTTCATGTAAATGTGACATTGCATTATTGTTAAACAGATTCATCACTTGCACTGCTCCACCCGTATTTGAGCAGTGATTTTCTACCAAATTTTGTGCAGTTTCCTACGTTTTATACATCTCCCTAATCTCATTTGAAGTGAAGGATTTCTCTGCCTTTTCTCTTCCACCTCTGGAGAGGAGATCTCCTCTCAGTCTCTTGCTGTTGGGAGATGATCACCTACAATTCTAAAGGGAGAGAGAGAGAAAAAGAGAGGAAGGCAGAGAAAGAGAGGCAAAGAAAGAGATAGAGACAGAAAGAGACAGAGAAAGAGAGTAAGGAAGAGGAAAAAGCTGTTGGTTCAGTTGTGATCATATCACGTTTGGTGTCACATACTATTCATATTGCAAGACATAGCTTGCTTACCAAGTGAAAATGTAGTAGAAATGTTTGTCTTGCAGAACACTCGCAGAGCAAGTAACTTGTAATCCAAGGTTTCACTGTATTGGAAACCATTATTGGGTCCATTCCCAGCCTCTGTCAGGTAATTTAGAAACCTCGTTGGCCTGACTTAAGAACCTTTGCCCCAACCAACCCAAGTGCTGAATATAGGCACCATATTTCCCAGCACTGCAGACAGATGCTTTCCTTTTTGCAGGTAGCTCCGGACCTGAGTCTCATATCTGCTTATTTAATGATTTCACTTTCTAATAAAAATTCCGTATGGCACAGATAATTAGATCTTTTAAATGAAACTGGGGGAAGAGTGCTGCAAAGAATTTAACTGCAGTTTTAGGTTGGATCAAGCATGAAAATGGGCTCATTCATCCATATAACAAACATGGACAGAATGGGCTGCTGCACTAGAAGTGATCTTGCAGGGATCCACTTGGGGCCTGTTGTCCCTACCCTTGCGTGGCCATGAGTCCAAGGGAAGGAGGAAGGAAGTACGTGTCCATGTGGAGCATGGCCACCTGCATGGCCATACAGAGTGAGTGCAGTGCCACTGCAAGACCGAAACGTCATTGTGTCAACTGTCATTACAGCAGAGCCATTTTTCTCCACATGGTGTAGTGTGGAACATCTGGATCATCTCCCAGTCCTTAGCAGGCCCTGCGTATTCCACATGAAGGAGGCATGGGCTCCTGGGCTTCTCCGGATCAAATGAGCAGGTTGGCTTCCATAGGTACAAAGGCTTCTCTCTATCCAGCTTGGTGATTCCAACATCCTGAACTCTTTTCCCCAAGTGATAGGCAATGAGAAATCTGACAGCTGTAGTCAGCATAAGATGTCCAGAGAGAACTAGGGATGGCAAAAGCCAGCACGTTTTCACAAAACCTTTCAAAGGACAAAGAAACCCTCCTCTTGCTCCTGGAAAGGAAACCACTTTCCAATTGAACGTTCCAGTAAGTGCAGGTAAGTCAAGGCTGATGACAGCAAAAAGGTCAGGAAGGCATGTGGGGCAGAGTAGACCTGTGGCCTAGAACCTCCATTAACGTGGATAAGAAAGGTATCAACCTCGCCGGCACCTTACTACCTGCAATGTGGTCTTTACTTCTAAGTTAATGTCCTTCAAGAAAGCTTGGTGATTCTCAGGTTTTAAAATAAATTAAAATGCACAGACATT